AATGACAAATGGCTTGTCTAGCATACCTAAGGCTCTGGGTTTGATCCACAGCACATGAAAAAAAACCAGAAAACAAATAAACTTTCTTTTTTTTTTTTTGGTTGGTCTTATGGCTTGAACTCTGAACTGGGCACTGTCTCTCAGCTCTTCAGCTCAAGGCTAGCACACTTGAGCCACAGCACCACTTCCGGCTTTTTTCTTTTTGCTTATGTGGTGCTGAGGAATTGAACCCACGGCCTCATGCATGCAAGGCAAGGGCTCTACCACTGAGCCACCTTCCCAGCTCCAACATGTACTTTTAGTGCCACTAATTTCTCTCTAGTGAAGCTTCTGAATTCTTCGTCCAATTCCCTGTGCATTGGACTACTATAGCTGGTGGGAAAGCTCTATTCCCAGCTTTGCCAGCTCTAGGGATTGTTCTATCCTTTGGGAGTAGTTCTTTCCTTGACCTCTAACTACCTGTACCAGTCAGAAGATACTCTTCCCTCTCTGGGGACTCTAAGGGTTTTAGAAACTGTCAAAGAGGGATTGTAAATCTCATCCTTTATTCCACCTTGGTCAAATGCCACATTAAAATGCTACTAGTTGTATTAATTGGTGTACTTATAACTATTTTCCAAGGTATGGTTATAGGCAAACATTGTTACAGTTTGAAACCAAGCTAAAGAGAATGCAAGTAGAAAATTAAAATGCTTCAAAATAACCAACTTCTGCTAGGTACTATGGTCCATGGCTATTGTCCAGCTGTTTGAGATGCAGAAGGATCACTTGTACCTAGGAGTTGGAGACAAGCCTGAACAAGATAGCCAGACCCCATCTCATGAAAACAAAAAAAGAAGGAAAGAAAGCCCACAAACAAAAACAACAACAACAAAACCCTTTTAGTTGAGTATAAAGCTTTTCTTCTCAGAGAATGCTGTAAACCTGGTTTCAGATTGAGGCCTTTACTCTCATGCATCTTATCTCTAGCACTGTGTAGAATTAAGAGAGATGGGGTACCCCGTTCTATTTTCTGTGGCTGAGATTTTTGAAACAATCTTGCATTTTCCACAGTCCAGTCCCCTCTTTCTAGGCCAATAGTGCCTTCCATTGCAAGATGTTCTCTAGGGCCCTAACTAACCTGCCACACTAACTTCTTAACAAAATCTACCAATTCCATTAGAATAAATGATATCATTGGAAGAACTGACAAAGCTATCTTTGGGCCCTGAAAGACTAGAGCAAATAGATGAACTTATGAATGAAAGAGTTCACTGTTCAAAAAGAAAGGCACTCATTACCTTACTTAAGTAACTAACTATAACCCCTCTGTACATCACCTTTACAATAAAAAATTTAAAAAAAGAATGAAAGAGTTACCATTACTGAACTCCAAAAGAGATAACAAGAAAATATAATAGGAGTTCAAAGTGTTGAGTTCTTTTCCCCCCATTTTTGTTTTTAAGATATTAAAAAGCAAAATGGTACAAATGTTGTGGTTACTAGTAAAAAGGACTCAAATTTTTCAAAGTGAATTTTTATAAACAATTCTGCAAGGAAAAAAAATCTTGGTACAACAAAGTTTTTGTTAATAATATTAGAATTTTTTTAATCAGAAAATGTTAACTTTCTTTTCAATTGATGTTCACAAAAAATACCACCAAAAAATAAAAACAAAACACAACAAGAAATAACCCTGTACAAGCTCCATAGTAAACTGTATCCTTACACCCTGTCCTGGGCATTTTGAAAAGTTAAAATTTCTGCACTCTGAATGATAGAGACAGCACATAAAGGCTTTCATGAATCTTTTCCAAAAAGAGCATTTTTAGTAAAACATTTTACTATTTTATCTGACTAAGCATTGATATTTTATTCTTCTGAAAAACAGAACTTACATTAATAGTGCAATTATTAATGTAAAAATATACAAGGAGAGACATTTAACTTCCTGAGTGGACAGTCTTATATGAAACATGGTTTAATTTTTTAAATTCCTTAAATTTGCTAGAGGCACTGGTGGTTCATGCCTGTAATCCTCGCTAGTCAGGAGGCTGAGAGCTGAGGATTGTGGTTCAAAGCCAGCCCAGGAAGGAAAGAGACTTTTATCTACAATAAACTATCAAACCAGAAGTAAAGCTGTGGCTCCAGTGGTAAAATGCTTTAAGCAAAGGCACCTCAGAGATAGTGCCTAGGCCATGAATTCAAGCCCAGGACCAGCAAAAAAAAAAAAAAAAATCCCAAACAAAACCAACACAACAACAAAAAAACCTCCTGAAATTTTAGAATTAAATAATATGTGTAGCTCTACATATGTGAGTTCAAACAGGGTTCAAAAGAACATGTCACCAAATTTATACTTAAAATTTCTAAGGCAGTATTTCTCCCCAAACATAATCAATATGCTTCCTCAAAGAAAAGTGTTAATAAAATGAATCACTGGGAAGTTGTATTTGCTTATTAACAACATACAGCCATTTCACATTATCAATTTAAATGCTTTCTATTATATCCATGGGGATTAACAAGATATTCCTGCAATACAAAAGGACAACAGATAATTAAATATTTGCCTTATAATACAACCAATCAATCTATACAATTCATCTTATCTAATTGTCTAAAATGATCCGGAACTGTAGCACTTTCTTTTGCATAAAACTCTTTTCTCTTCCAAAAACCATGAAGTGAAAGGTTATTACTGTAATAAGACTAGAATCACAGTTCTTCTCATTTCTGTATGAAACTGCAGCTATAGGTCTTAAAACTTACAAGAAATATGCAACTTGTAAATCCTCTCTGTACAGTTTTATACAGTTTCCAAACCAGCTTAATCACAAGGACCTTAAATGGCCCTACAAGATAGTCGCATTGTACCACTTCTTAGCATCAAGGTAAGTGCCATTTTCCATCTCTACTATTGTCTCTTCTGTTATTGTTCCAGCCATCAGGGTTCCTATCTTCATAGAAGAAATCATCTCTGATTCCTCCATGATGGTAGTTAGGCCCTTGACCAGTGTTGGCTATAATGTCTCTCTGTTAGGTAGGGATGGGAACTTTGTCTGACTTTGCACTGTGATGACAGTGTATCTTGCCGCCGCCACTGGAAACTTGAAGACTGGTTAAAGGTGTGACCATGTGACTGAACTGATGATGAAAATCCAGACAGATCTACATGCAGAAACCAAATTTCCCATCATATGACATCTGTCTCAAAACATTGCTCATCACTGCTTGTCTTGGATAATTTTCTGGCAAAGAGAAAAGTCTCTGAGTTATTTGTGAAAATGGAGTCATATTATCCACAGTCCTTTCATATCTGGTAGGAGATGTGGAGATAGGGTTTGAGTACTGGGGATAGGATGGACTGACATCCTGTGAGGCAAGACTAGTTCCTGACCTGAACCAAAGTTTGATGGGCCTTCCAGAAAGTTCGATTCCATTAAGTAGATTCATTGTGTAAGGAACAGATGCTTCTTGTTTGAAGTTGACACATGCAAACTGCTTTGGTTTATCATCCTTGTCTTTGGAATTTTCACCTTTATTTCTGGCCTGGATTGGTGCAACAGCTCGAAAAGAGCTTCTCAGTGACTTTAGTCAGTGAGTGACTAAATTCTTGGCCCAAGAATCTTGATTGTCAACTTGGTAGGATTGAGAAGTGCTCCCCCTCAAGACTGTACAGCACACCTATGGTGGGGTGGAACCACCCCAAATATGGACAGTACCGTCTCATAGACTGGGGGCCTGAATGGATTAAGTGGGGGAAAGGGAGAGCACCAACTTGCACAGGCACATTCTTGCCCTCTCTTCCTCTTTCCCTTTCTCTCTCTGCTTCCTGACTGCCTGGTTGTGAGCTGCTCTGCTCCACCATGCCCTCCCTGTCTTAAACTGAACCAAAAGCAAATGCTTTCTGCATTAGATTGTTATGTCAGATATTTTGTCACAGAATTGAAAAGGCTAACTCAAGAATGAAGAACAAGCTGGGCGCTAGTGGCTCATGCCTGTAATCCTAGCTACTCAGGAGGCTGAGATCTGAGGATAATGGTTCAGAGCCAGCCCAGGCAGAAAAGTCCATGAGACTCTTCAGTTAACCACCAGAAAACTGGAAGCGGTGCTGTGGCTCAAGTGGTAGAGTACTCTTGAGCTGAAGAGCTTAGGGACAGTGCCCAGGCCCAGAGTTCAAACTCAACAACAACAACAAAAGAATGAAGTCTTCAACCCTTAAAAAGGAAAAGAGAGAATGGTGCTCAAGTAGACCCTTAGACCTCACTGGTATACATAAAGACCAGGATGTATTAGGAAGGAGAATGTCTGGTAGATAGCAATTAGCCAGTATTTCTTCAGTGGGTGAATATGTGAACCTTTAATTGGTGAGCATGCTTGAGGTTCCAGTGAGTCACACGAGAAACCTTTTTTGTCTCATCTTGTTCCATTCTCTTCTCTTTTCTTATTTATTTATTTGGTATAGGTACCAGGGCTTGAACTCAGGGCCTGGGTATCCCAATCATGGCTGGCACTCTATACCACTTGAGCCACAGCTCCACTTCTGGCTTTTTGCTGGTCATTGAACGTAAGAGTTGCACAAGCTGGTCTTCCCAAGCTGACTTCGAACCCAATTCTCAGATGTCAGTCTCCTGGTTAGCTAGGATTATAGGTCTGAGCCACTGGAGCCCCACTCTTCCTTTATTTTTGAGGTAGGAGCTTAAATACATCTTCAGTCAGTTGCAGGCTGGTCCCCTATTGGGTTCCAGATTTAGTATGGAAGCCTTAGGTAAAACTCTAGGAAGGGGTGAAGACCAAAAGCAAGACTTCAATGTAACCTTTACTATAAGTTGAATACTAACCATTGGTCCTCTGCTCTACCCAGATCTGAGCTCCTCCCTGCCCTGGAGATCCTGCCCTACAGCTAGCCATTCCCTCTCTCCACCTAGACCTGCCTGCACATGTGTCTTACCTCACCTTCCCCTCCTCTCCACCCTACACCCCTTGACTTGGATGGGAGCTGACGCCATGTGCTCCCTCTCCCGGAGAGATGGCCCCTCTAATAAACTGTATGTTTCTCCTGTGCTGCCTGCCTCTGTGTGGTCCTCTGGGAGCGTTCTGAAGGATCCTTTCAGAAGTGGCTACAGTCAACCAAATTTAGCCTTGTAAGTTAATTTGATCATTTAGGTTCAATAACATAAACAATTTCTTTTTGTCTTTTACAGGAGTAGTTCTGATTAAAGCCCGGATTTTAGAGCTGGTATTTCTTATCCCAGCAGCTCAGAAGATAGTCCTAAATGCTCACAGTTCTTTGAAGAATATTTTTTCCTCTCTTCCTAAAATTATATTTACTGGCTGTGCAAAATGTGGATCGGAACTAGAAACAGATGAGAACAGGATCTATAGACAGTGTCTTAGCTGCTTGCCCTTTGTTGGGAAGAAAACATACTATCGGTAAGCAAACAAAGCCACCCAATTGGTGGAAATATTTATGATTATAGGACTGGAAATGACTGAAAAATTACAAATATCAATGCTTACTTTGTATTAGAACTAATGAGAAGCTAGTCTAAGAGCATAAACATTTCCTGTGTGACAAATAGCAATTCTTTTTTTACTGGGGAAAAATACTGGATTGGACCTAGTGCCTCATACCTACAAGGCCAGTGCTCTACCACATTGTGACCCATACACAAAGGGGAATTTGTGTGTGTGTGTTTGTATATGTGCCTGTAGTGGGCTCATATACACAACTGAGGGCCTTGCACTCTTGCTTGGCTTTTTTGCTCAGGCCTCATGCTCTTCCATTAAGTCACACCTCCACTTTTAGATTTTGGCTGGTTAATTGAAGAGTAAGAGTCTCATGGACTTTTTTGCCTGGGCTGGCTTAGAACTGTGATCTTTAGATCTCTGCCTCCTAAGTAGTTAGCATTATAGGCATGAGCCACCAGTGCCCAACTGGGATTTTTTTTTTTTAAAGAACAAATTGGAAGACGTTATCATCTTCACTTTCTTGGGGGAGGGCACTGGGCTTTGAACTCAGAGCCTCATGTGATTTCCCTGTCTTAGTCAGATATACTCAAGATTCTGTTTACATTTTTAACCAAGATCTAAATGTTCCATAAATATGCATTTCCCCATCCTAATATATAAATAGAATTTAAGGGTTGACAGTATTGCATGTTCTTACCCCTGCCTTGTTTGTCCAAGCTAGTAAATGTTTAACTCTCAGTATCTTAGTTTTCCCATCTGTACTTTTGAAATTAAAGATGCATGTTTTATGGTAAAATTGTTAACTAACTCAGTGAAGAGGTTATTTTCTATGCTCTTATTATTTTCTACCGCTTCAATATCTAAAAACTAAATGTAGATATATTCACCATTTTTTACTTTTTGAGACAAGATCTTGCTTTATAGCCCAGGCTGGTCCCAAACTTATGATTGTCCTGCCTAAGCCCCCCAAATGCTGGGATTACAGCTGCGAGCCATCACACCCACCTAAATTTAGCATATTTCAGGAAAATGTATAGAAGCTTAATCCATATATTTTATTTCTATTTGCAAATAAGTAGGATGATGAGGATGAGGATGATGAAGAAGAAGATGATGATGATGATGATAAACCTTGTGCTGATTCTAGGGCTTGAACTCAGGGCCTGGACACTGTCCCTGAGCTTTTGTGCTCAAGGCTAGCACTCTACCACTTGAGACATAGTTCATCTTATAGTTTTTTACAGTTAATTGGAGATAAGAAGGTCATGGACTTTGCTGCCTATGCTGGCTTCAAACCATGATCCTTAGTTCTTAGCCTCCTGAGTAGCTAAGATGTGAGTGACTGGTACCCAATTTGTATGCTTATTAAAAATAACTGAATGTATCTTGCAATTACTTTATACTTTGCTTTTGTAGGAAAGAAATTAAAGTGACATGTCTGGTTTATAACAAACATAATTAAAATTGACATACATCAGTAGTTAAGTGGTAGAGCACCAGCCATAATTGGAAAAGCTGAATGAGAACACAAGGCCCCAAGTTCAAACCTTAGTACAAAAAAAATTATTTTCTTGGGGCTATATGTCCTGTAATGACAAATGGCTTGTCTAGCATACCTAAGGCTCTGGGTTTGATCCACAGCACATGAAAAAAAACCAGAAAACAAATAAACTTTCTTTTTTTTTTCCCTCCACAAGATTCCTAAATTCGTTGAGTGAAGGAACAAGATTTATCTTATTACTAATGTATACCTAGTGTCCATAGCACATAATAGACATGCCGTTTGTGTTTATTTAAAAAAAAAGAGCCTGAAATGTATGGAGGAAGGGTAAACAAATGCAGTCATGGTATTCTATGTATGCTATGTAAAAAATGAACTCTGCAACTTGTAGCAGGGATGGGAGGAGATGACTTGTAGACAATGAAGGAAGGGGCGACATTGTCCAGAAAGAATTATAGTCATTACCTAGAATCTTAACACCTCTGTGTAACATTTTACTAATAACAGTGAAATTATATATTTTTAAATAATAGTAACATTAAAAATAAATAAAAAGCCCGGAGAAAGAATATAAAGCCAGAAGAGGAAAGGGCCTGGAGTAATCAGCTGGATAATGATGGTGTGGAGAGTGAAAATCACCAGTCACAGTTTCTCTGTTACACTAAATTTTTCTCAGTGAATCTGATTCTAAATTCTGTTCTCAATTTCTTTTGGGCAGGCCAGCTTTAATGACTGTAGTCGATGGAAGACAAAGTGTTGGCATCCATGTGGGATCAAAGTTGATGGAGAAGATTCTTCTCAACATCTCTCCAGACTGTCTCCACAGAATGATAGGTAGCATATCAGCACACCATGGAAGGCTCCTTGTGAGATCATTAATTCAATAGCATACATGACATATTGGAACAAAAGGAATGCTGTGTTGTACATAAAACTTTTGGGGACAATGTTAAAGTAGAGGCTAATTCAGCTTGAGTGAAACATAAATCTTTCTAAGTTGGGAGATAAGACTTATTCTCCTCCTCGCTCAGTGAATAGAGGGAAGCATCTAAATTCTCTTTACTGAAATTCATTCCTAGTCAGCAAAAACATTGGGACCTTCATTTTTTTGTATGTTTTTTATTGTAAAAATACTGTACAGAGGGGTTACAGTTACATGAGCAAGGTAATGAGTACATTTCCTATCGAGCATTGTTGCCTCTTCCTTTGTTTTCTCCCTATCATCCCTTCGCTCCCACCTCCACCAATACTCTCCCCCCACCCTGCTGGCCACCAAAGTTGTAAAGGGACCCTCATTGTATAATAGTTCAACAAGGGAATGTATGTGAAGCTCATCAGCCATCAGTGGAATAGATTGTACAGTTTGGGGCCAGGTACCAGAGAGGGAACAAGGTAAAAATACCCTACTTGTCAGGTGATCAGTCTCCATACCTGTCCTCTTAAGCCGTAGACTGGTTAAACAAAGTTAATTTGGTTCTCTCTCTCTGTGTGTGTGTGTGTGTGTGTGTGTGTGTGTGTGTGTGTGTGTGTGTAAGATGTGTGAGGATCTGGGGGGGAGGGATGTGTGCGTGCGTGCTGCAGTCTGAACTCAGGGCTTCATGCTTTGACTTAGCATTTTCCACTAAGGGTTATCTATTATTGAGCCATACTTCCAATTCCAGCTTTTTGCTGGTTAATTGGAAATAAATCTTTCCAACTTTTCTGCCCAGGCTGGCTTTGAATTACAATCCTCAGATCTCAGCTCCATGAGTAGTTAGGTGCTTCCCCAATCTAGCTCTTTCATTTGCTTTGTCTTTATAGTACACTGTTTTTCTTGAGTTTGTTGCTTAGATGGTGAACACTGCATGCAACACAGAGCAGTGTGATAGACAGTGTTTGTACTGGCCATGGGCAGAGCTTCTTCCAGACTTTTCTGGGGGATAATGAGTGGGGGCAGGGTCACATCAGCTTTGCTGTTCGCTATGTTTGCCTTTGGGTCAGCACAGGCTTCAGGTTTCTTGCCTGTCGTCTGGGTTGTTGGTGGGGAGTGATCCTCTGCAGCCCTGCTGTGCTGTCACCTTTAGCCCTGTTCTCTGCACCTTCCAAGAGGGGCCTCCAGGAGGGGGCCTCCCATGTTCTCTTTCCAAATTGACTCATAATGTTTTTACAGATTCTGTAGTACAGGACTTGGTACTTACAATGTGTAGTGATCAGATGGGTACCTTACATTTCTATAACTTTAAACATTTATCTGTGTGTGTGTGTGTGTGTGTGTG